AATTTTTTTCCCCCTCGATCAATTTTTTGGTTTAATTATTATCGGCTTTCGTAGTGTGTGCGATCCAATATCGGCATTATGTTATATCAACGACAATGAACAATCGTAAAAAATCCGCGTATCGTAATCGGATAGTTAACTAACCATCGTTGATATCGTTTCCTCTCTGATCAAAGCGAGTTAATCGAGAATTGTTTCGATCGCAAGTGTATTATATATATATATATATTATATTATATATATATAGGCTGTCCCGCCCAATTTTAAAAAATGCCACGCTACACGTTTAGCGTCTTTATCGTTATTCGTGCTCGAATCATCCGAGCAGACCGCGACGATCTTTTTTACCGACGATTTTTTGCTAGCGATGTTTCACCCAATTATTTCGACCATGCTTCGTAAACATTTATTCGCCGTTAAATAATTTTCCTTTTGAAAGCTTACCGAGAATTCGTACGAACGTTAATGGCAAATGTGTGCCGAAAGTGCAATTCTCTTGGTAGGTCGTGTCTTGTTTTCACGCTCAAGGTTAACTCAAAGTCACCTTATTATAGTCGTTAAATCGTAAATCGATTTTTTCTCCTTTTCTTTTCTTTCTTCAACTATGCGATGGAATATCGAGACCGACGTAAAAACTTCAAGAAAATTCGTCGAAATTTCGACGCAACAAAATTCGCGTGAAACGTTTATAACGAAACGGTCGCGTGAATACTCGCACAAAAAAAAAAAAATAGAAGGTATTGACATATTCGCGCGAAAGTTTAACGAATAATAATAATAACAAGGATAATTTATACTCGGTAAAGTGGAAAGATATCATCTTTCATCGCTCGGTGGTAATCGATTCCTCCAATAGAAACGCGGACTAAACGCGTTAAGCACGCTTGAACGAGGAACTCTATCAAACCGCTGTATCCAGTGTACGAAGTTATCCAATAAGTGCGCGTTTTTCTTTAGTTACGAATTAATAATCGTCGTTTAACATTTAGACGCGATAAAATTTCATACGATTTTACAAAGGGATTTTGTAATAAAAGATATTCGTGGTGAAAAAAGAAGGAAAAAATATGGTAAATACGACGAAGGAACGGAATAGCGACGAGGAAGGAGGAAAATCGCGTGTACCAGGTCGAATAATGGTGCATTAAGAGCAATTAGATCTGCAGTTGCGATTATAACAAGCAGCTTCGATTTTACGTAATGCTGCTTTTTTTTTTATGGTTACAAAAAACGATTTTTTCGTCAAACCTTTTCACTCGCGGTTTTCGGAATTTGCATTTTTTTCGAATTTTCTTTCGACGTATCTAAAAAAAAAAAAAAGAAGAAAGAAAAAAAAGAAAAAGAAAGAACGCGATAAAAAGAATTATCGTTTAATACGAACGATTGCGTTTATATCGACGTTTTAACCACCGACAAAGGAAAAGAGCCGAGACTTTCTTCGAGAGAAACGAAAATATCTGCGTGCGTAAATTTTAATATATCGTTTCGATGTTGCGAAACGTTCGATTGTAAGGTATCGCGATAATCGGTATACGAAAGGATGTGAGGTTTCGCGTCCATCCGTAACTGTTGCGGTCGCCATATTCCGATACCCCCACCACATTTCCAAGAAGGTCTAAAAGAGAAAGATAATTTTTGAAATAACATTCGCTTTAAAGAAATCGCTCTTAGACTCGGACGTTCCTTATTCTTATTTCTTGTTCGATCATCCTCAAATAATTTTTACTTTTCTCCATACGATTTATACGATCGAATATACATCGAATATATATATAGATATGATTATGTAATCGTTACACTCGCGTACTTCTTTCTGTTGCAGTGTGAGAAGCGTAATGCACAAATATCTGGAAAAGAAGAAGGAAGTTAACTTCGATAAAATATTCAATCAAATGTTTGGTGAGCAATTTTCAAGTATACTTTGTTGTTAATCCCGATTGACTCGGTGGATCGTGGAATTATCGATTATTCGTGGCAAGGGCGCGAATATATATATATATATATATATATATATACATATATACACACACGGGATACGATTTCTTCGAGAAACCACATTCGATAATTCGTTTCGAATTAATCCAATTCAACTCGTCCATACGGAGAGATCTGAAACGAGTTACGAGATTATATAGATAATACAAAACCTAACGAATCCTTCGAAATCCTTTGAATTCGATTCGCGAATATTCGTGAATTCAAGTATTTGTGATTAATTTCTTAGAAATTCGATGTTAACAGAGAGATTATCACGTGAAGATACGTGAAGACAGGAAAAAATACTCTGTTAATTTCTATCGATATTTTCTATCATTGTGGAAAAATTCCAAGAAAAATTTAACTCGATTATTCGAATTACGGGGAATGAAGGAAAGCTAAGGTCGACATCGATCGTGTTTCATCGTGCTCGTCGAAGAGCAGAGAAGAAGAGGATAATACGTAGTCCTGTTTTAATGAGAGATGATTTTTTCGAGAAAATTTTCGACTTCCATCTGGCCGTTCGAATTTTTGCAAGAATCCGTGAAGAAAAAAAAAAAAAGAGAGGGGAAAAAAATCAATGCTCGCGATGAACTTTTTGTTTTTACATTGCGCACAGATCATTTCTCCGTTCCTCTAAGTATAGTTGGTCTGATAATATCTCCGCTTTTTACGCGTAATTATAGCCTGGTGGCAAAGAGAATTGAAAATCAATTTTGCAATGCTCGTTGAACTGTGCACCGATTGATCGACAAAACGCATTTCTTCCCATTTCATTCGGATGATAAGTTCCGTCTAACACGACGATGATCGAAATGAAAGTTTTTAGAATCCGATTTACGCATTTTTCTCACTATTTAATTTCGATTCAATTTTGAGGCACTCGAATAGCATCTATGATTTTATAATATAATCTTCTTCTCTTCGTTGCAACTTGAACCGGTTCGATCTTTAATTTCGAGAGACTGGAAAATTATCGATTTGACGGTTGGATTGAAATAAAAGATTCGTTAAATGTAACGTGTTTTTCAACGAAATTCATAAAACGTTTGATAGAAAAAAAAATATTTCGAGATAATCGAAAAGAATTATTTGTGACGTTAATTTAGAATTCAAATGCAATTTTTCGAACTACCGTCGTCGAGTTTCCATTGTCCGATTTAAAATTTGGAAAAAGAAAAAAAAAAAAAAGTTAAGTGAAATTAGGAATCCGACGGAAGACGAGAG